AAGGAGGGGGGGGGTAATTTTAGTCTAGATCTAGCAAAAGGGGGTGAGAATTTTTTTTATGTTACAATATAAATATTTTTTATATAAAATTTCAGTTTATTAATTAAAAACAATATTTTTTACAAAACACGCTTAAAACTAATAAAATCTAGCGTGGCTGCGGTCAAATGCGCATTTTCTAACAACTGTTTTATAATAATTTCAATATATTGAAAGTTTTTTTTTACATAAATTTAATATTTTGACATAAGTTTAATACTTTTGTAAGAAATAAATTAAAATCTCATTTTCGATAAATCGGGATTTACTTGGTCGGTGTTTTTAAAGCCTGTTTACACTAAAATTTTTTGTTTTTGTCAGTGATTGAAATAGTTAAAGACCTCAGTAGAAAAATCAGCGTTGTCACGTTTTAAAAGTTTTGAGAAAATTTTTATTGATCATTAATAAAAATCTTTATATAAAGCAATAAAAAAAAAGGAATTTCTAATAAAAATTATATAATTTTTTTTATAATTAAACTTTAAATAAATTAATCAAAATATTGATTTTTTTCTTCTTTCTCATCTTTAATTTTCTTTGCCTAATATAAAAACTTTTATTAATGATCAATAAATTCTTTCTCAAAACTTTTTAAATGTAACAACGCCGGTTTTTCCACTGAGGTCTTCAATTATTTTTTACTTTTTAATGCCGATTTTCACTAAATTTTTTGTTTGTTAACAAGTAAAAATTAATAAACGGGTGGGGGTGGGGGTCTTAATAAGCTTGGGGCTAGAAAATTTTCCAAAACTCTCTTCCCCCCCTCCTCTTTTATGTGGGACTCGAGAATAAGCTGCTAACAAACATCGTATGGATGGAGTTTTTAAACCTAAAAAAATCATATGACCTTCAACCACTCTTTCATCTTAACTGATGACCCAGTTTTGAACTAAAGATACAGTTGATACAGCAGCTGTTTTGGGATTTAAACTTATTTACAGTGAACGACAAATTGAAACATTAACAAAAATAAGTTACTTTTATTATTTACTATATTCTATATATTAACATAACCTATAACCATCTTCAAACTAAGTTTTTTATATTTACAAATATAATTTACATAATATATACATATATTTTGTATACTATATATAATGTATATATCATTATATACTATATATAATAACTTTATACCCATATATAATAACTGGCCGAGTACAGTTACCCTTGGTATAATAGTCAGTGGCCAGATACAGTTTAAAAAAAATTCATTGTACCAGGGCAATTCTATTTTAAACCCTTTTACAAGATGTTTTTTAATATTTTAATTCACTATGGTTACATTAACAGAAAGTGGCGTATTGGTTAGAGTTCTGGCTCAGAACTAAGAGGTTCCAGGTTCGACGCCACTTTTAGCCCAACAAGCAACATTTGTACGAAAGGAGGTGTGAACTTCTTGTTAAATGCTCTCCCGCGGTGCTCTATGATAAGACCGTAAGAACTTCTGGGAGCACCTAAAATAACTACAAAAAAAAAAAAAAAAAAAAAGAAGTTATTGTAGAGATTTCATCAAATAAATTTTATCATTTAAAATCACCCTAGAATTTTTTTGGGGGAATTGTAACCATACGGCTCTGGTACATAAAACTCATCTACATTAAAATCTTGTGTAATTCAATCGTTATTATAACTACAATGTCACTTATAGCAGTATCACATGCACGAATATAAGATACAATTTTTACATACTTTTGATGAAGAACCGCTCATGAAAAATATGTTAAAACTACATCTTTAGCCAATTTAATGCCGGTGTTGGCCCAATGGCTATGTATTATATGGAATATGATTTTTTTAAATTGGTTCTTTTTCTTACAAGAACAACTTGGGTTCCATCCACCATTATAATGACTTAATGCACTTTAAGGAGCTTGTATAAACATTCTATGTTTTCACTTATTCACAAGAAAGGTGTGGAGAACAAATTCCCTAATGTTGATATTGGTTTCCGTATTAGTATCTTTGCACCACTGTAAAACTTTTTTAGAATAGTGAGAGGCAGCAAGATCGGGCCAAAAGATTCATCGGTATTTGTGTTTTTTTATAAAAGGCAAAAGTCTATTTTGGAGGCATTCTTTGATGTAGAGATTGGCAGTCAAGGTCTTTTTAGTGACAAAACAAGAGGACTGCATACCACAGCTACAAATTGCTTGCCACACAAGGAATTTGGATGCAAATTTTTCTCGTCAAATATATTTAAATTGGTCATCGACAGGTTTATCTTTGTTTTCATAGTAAACTGTTGACCAGGAAGTTACAAAAAATCCGCCTTGCAATACATTTTGTCGTCTTCAATTATGCACATATTTTTATCCGCCACTATTTTAACCAACTTCTTTGCGCGTCGAATTCCTTTAATTTCACAATTTAAGCTTCTCTTAGGTGCATTTTTTTATGAAATGCTTTAATTCGAGCATTTTAAGCACTTTTTTGATATAAGAACGAGAAGTCTTAAATTTTCTTGCTAGATCTCGCTGTGACTGATTTGGATTTCTTGCTATTGAACGTAAAATCGACTTTACCTTTTTGGATTTATGGAAAGTTTTTTTTCTTCCACTTCCAAGTTTTCTTTCGAAGCTTTGAGTAGTCTTGAACTTGTTTATAATATCTATGACTGTAGATTTTGGAACATTTGTGCGTTTAGCAATCAAGTGATAAGAAGTCGATGGATTTTTGCAAATAAAATTCACAACTTTTTTACGCACCTCAACTTGTTTCCAAAACATTTTGCAAATCATTAATTTGTAAACAAAAATTTATCAACACTATTTAAGATAAGGAAGTAAGGTTTAATTAAAAAAAGAAAATTAAATAAAAAGCATTTGTGGTTTTGGAGAAATCTCAGTTTAAAGATGACCGGATTTTTCCGTGTCCACCCGATACTTTTATTATTAGTTTAACTAATAATAGGGGCGGGGCGGATGCAGGATTTTTTGAAGTTTGAGATAACTAACTTCCAGACATGGAGCGAACTCAAAACTTTTATATGTTTATAGTTATATCAAATAAAAATACTTTGCATAAAATTGAGATGATAGGAGCCTGGGAACAAAAAAGCCCCAAAATTTTTGCTACACCTGCCCCAAATGTGAGAGCAACAAGTTGATAAAATAATTTTTTTACTATTCTTAACTAAATCTATATTCATCGAGAAATTTTAAAATTCATGCAATAATCTCTTAACGCTCAAAAGTTATAGCCACATAAAGTTTGAATCCCCCTCAATTTGAGGGGGTTACAAATTTTATAAGACCATTTTTATTGAACGCTAAAAGATTGTTTTACAAAATTAAAAATTTCTCGATGAATATAGATTTAGTTGAGAAAAGTAAAAAACTTATTTTAACAACTTGTTGCTCTCACGTTTGGGGCAAGTGTAGCAAAAATTTTGGGGCTTTTTTGTTCCCAGGCTCCTATCATCTCAATTTTTTGCAAAGTATCCATATTTGATATAACTATAAACATATAAAAGTTTCGAGTTCGCTCCATGTCTGGAAGTTAGTTATTTCAAACTTCAAAAAATCCTGTATTCGCCCCTGAGTTAATGCTAAAACAAATTAAAAAAAATTTAATTCTAGTGTCCCCTCAAAAAAATTACGTTTTAGAATACAATTTTATAAGTCAATATATGTATATTGAAGATATACATAATTACATGATTATATATGAAAAAAATAGTTAAAATATCATTAAAAAACAGTTTCTAATTATTACTATAAACGGTTGAAATCAAAATAATCGACAAAATCCCGTTAAAGCAAGACAGTATACAGAAAAAGGTTGTTCAACTAGTTATCATTATCGATCTCCTCTGTAAACCAGTCTTCAATAAAACTTCTGTACCAGTCTTCAATAAAACTTCTGTACCAAAATCTTAAAGTTTATCAAAAATAAAAAAACTGAGATTTTACTAATTTTTAATAGCTAATATTGACTTTTTAACAGAAAATTTTTAATAATACATATGAACTCAGTAGACATAGAATGGGAAAAACATGTGTAAAAAAAAAGGTTTTTTTTTGGGACACCCTACTACGTATTTCGATGTTTCAAGAACTTATTATTAACTCTTATGTATTGTATCAAGAGGCGACTGATTAAGCGCGAATTTCATAAGTGCGAACTGGCATAAGTGCAAATGGCGTGAGTGCAAACTGGCCTATGTGCGAATTGGCATAAGTGCAAACTGGCATAAGAGCGAAACAGTTACAAAAACTGGCACAAGTACGAACTTGCATAAGTGCGAATTGGCATAAGTGCGCCAAAAAATTTGTTAACATAGGCGAAGTTAACATAAGTGCAAAAAGGCATAAATCAAAAAGCCAATTTGCACTTATGTTAATATTTGCAATTTTATTCGGCGCATTAATGCTAATTCGTATTTAGGCTAATCCGCACTTATGCCAGTTTTTGTAATTGCTTTGCACTTATAACAGTTCGCACTTATGCATATTTGCACTTATGCCAATGTTTGCAAATTAATTCGGCGCACTTATGCGAATTTGCACTTATACCAGTTTGGACTTTTGAATTTCGCCGTTATTCCGCCTCCCATTATTAAGTATTAAAAATGATATCAAGAAAGAAATGAACTTTGATAATATTATCAAAGCTGAAAAGCTAAGAAAATACCTTTTATAAACTGTTCCTGATACATTATAAGTGAGCGTATTGAAATCTGACAAACTGACATTAGTCCTATAGACTATTGTTGAATGGACATTGTATCATTTATTTGTAATAATAAACTTACGTCATTAATCAAGTAAATAATCTTAATGAGTCTTTAAAAAAGTTTTAAATTTTAGTTTTTTTCTTGGTTGGCGGCAATCATCAGCCTAATAAATTATTAAATAAAGAAATTAAATAACCGTTAAAAATTACTAATTAAACAAATTAAACAATGGAATATATATGTTTACAAAGAAAGATGCTATTATAGTGTTCTCAGCTTTCAGGTGTTTAATCAGATTTATGTTGATAAATTGAAAATACATTTCACAGCATATTAAATGAAAAAAATGAGAAGTCTAGAAAAAGTTTTACTTATAATCCTTTTATATTGCTTTCATGCAGTTCAGGTAAATTTTTATATCTATCAACAAACATTTTTTCATATCAAAATCATGAACAAAAAGATTTTAAGTGGGTTTTCTTAACGCTTTTTCTTTATCTATTTTTGCAGCCCGTTAATATTTTATAGTTAAATTTTAGATTTCAGAATCTTCGGCGCAAGTGAAGATCTATCTTGAGACGTTTAAACTATCTGGTTTAAAAAAATACTTAGAAAAACCACTGATAAAGCCGAAAGATCACCGTAAGCGATCGTTTAAATTTGAAATATGCTTTGGTACTGAGACGCTTAACTGTTTTTTATCAGACATTTTGTCTCTTGATGAGAAGACAAAAATGATTCATTTTCCACAGACCTTATCAAAAGATGTCAACAATCCATTAATTTTGAAATCGCCGTCATCAAAGGTAAAAGTGTAATTTAGCTCAGAAGTTCTTTATAAATTATAATTTAAAAACATTTTACTCTATATATACATCATAACTTTCCCCTACCGATATCAAATAATAGTCTAATAAGGAGATTAGTGTTCTTAAAGAACTGATTATTGAATAAAAAGATACAACGATGATTAAAAGCTAATTGTATGTTGTTGCATTAAACTATTCCAAAATGCTCTGAATCCTTTAAATCTAATATTTTAATCTTAATAAATATTATATACTTTTAATCTAATTTATTCTAATTTATTCGTTTTAAAAATTCATTAATACATATAAGGGGTGGTCCACAAGTTACGTCACGCAATTTTTGACTGCTTTTGACCTCCTCCCCACTCGCCACAACATCTTAACTCTTTAGTAACAAGTTCCGTATGAGTTGTCACAAAATTACTAATTTTTCCGCACCCTTCCAAAGCGTGACGACAACCTCTAAGAAATAATACTCATTTTCTAATTTTTGTGTGAGTTGTATAAACGTTTTATATTCTATTTTTATTATTCCAATATTTTTAAATATAGTTATATAGTTTAAAACTTTTATCTTATTTTAATTCATTTACGCTATGCTTTGGTTTGTACGTTTTATGGAAAAGACCTTACGTACTTTATCACACTATTTTTTCATAAATCATTAGATTTACTTTGACAAATTGAAAACTTTAAAATGTTTTATTGTTTTATTTTTGTGAACTGTGAGATATTTTTTTATCGAGATAATCAAATTTTCAAAGTTTTTTTTTTTCAAACACTGGTAAGTTTAAAATCAGGTCACTGAAATTTTTGTTCTCCATAGGTTGATGCGAGCTTACGTATAAATATTTACCATCATGATAAGATTTTCTTTCAACATGAATTGTCGACAAAATTTTCTTTTGACTCTGTTGGTGTGAAAAGATTTACGCTGACAAATGATAAGAATTTAAGGTCTCCTAAAGATAAAAGCGAATTGTCTTTTACAGTAAGGTTAGAATATACATTTTTATAAAGATTATGTTAAAACTAAACACATACACACACATCCACAGACACACATACACGCAATAAGTAAAGTTTGTAAACCCAATTAATGTTTATAAATAAATAATAAACATAACCAACTTCTTTTTAAATTTACAAACATGTTTTATAAATATAGTCTGAATATTATATAGGTAGAAATTGACCAGAATTTTTCAAAAAAAGGCACCATATTTAGAACCATTTTATTAAACAACGTTCTCACAAATAACACCATCGCTTGTTATTTGTGAGAATAACACGCTTTACATGAGAATTACAACTCAGTTAAACTTTCTATTCTAAAATTTTATGGGGAAAAACATGTTATTTTGCGGGATAATTGTAGCACTAGATACGTAAACTAGATACTCTTAAAGTTGCTTTACGCAGCAGCTATGCTTGACTACAATAAAAAATATTTGTTAAGAAACGAGCCAGATTAATTTGACACGAAACCAACCCTAACACGAGCTACTAGAAATAGTGTTGATTTAAAAAAAAGATATTTGTAAAACATGACTTTACATTAGAAGTTAAATTTTTTCCTTTAGTTTTTGCGTTTTATACCAAAAATCTTTTTTTAAAATATTTATATAAATAAAATACCAATATTTTATATTTTTTTTTTAAATAAAAGTTTATTAAAACAGCTTATTACAAAGTTCACTTCAAATAGAGATTTTTTAAATAGAGATTATTTTTACTATAAAATTGAATATTCTAGGTAAATCTATTTATAAATTAACAAGATATATATGATAAAAATTGACAAATAAACAATTATATACTTAATTAATTAGTACTTGGTCTAAATAATAGATATCAGCGATTTTTGCACCTGTTTATAAACTAAGCTTTAGATGTTTAAACTTACACAGTTGTTAGATAACAGTTCTAATATGTGTCAATTTCATATAATAATCAACAAAAAGTTAAATAGAACTTTTAAGTTAATTCTATTGCTTTTAAATGTTTGATTGATGAGAAAATCTGAGTAAGCGAGACTTGAAAATGTGGTTTGGTTTTTAGCCATATATTAAATTTTTTTTCTGCAAAAAAAAAAATTATATAGTAAGTTTTATAAAAATTAACAGACATTTATAGAATATCTATAGAATATAATAAAAATTCCATGGCACATACACACAAAACTTTTTTGTAAGCAGATATAAAAGAAAA